CTAACATTTTCAATTATGCAATTATTTTTATCAAATATAACTCTAAAACCTTTATCACATCATTGACTAATGCTAAGTAAGTCATGCTTTAAACCATCAACTAAAAGTACATTTTATATGAGAGTACGAGAGTCATTACCTATAGTACCCTTACCAATTATTTTACCTTTCTTGTTGTCGCCAAAAGTTACTAAGTCGTCATCCTTCTTGGAAAGATTCACAAACTTGGATTGGTTTCCCGTCATGTGTCTTAGCAACCACTACGCAAATACCACTTATTTTTCTTGGAGGCTTTCAAATAAACCTATAAATAAAGATATTCAAAATTGAACTTTTGGTACCCATACTTGTTTGGGTCCTAACAAGTTAGTTTTCATAAATTTAGTAATCATGCTTGCATTCATATTAGAAAACTTACCACACGAGAAACAAATAATATCATGCATGAATTTATTTCTTGGACTAAGTTTATGCCTTCTATTTTCAATAGAAAAATTATTTCTTAAAACATTGTTAAATTTTATATTTTGAGAAAATTTTCTTCATGCAGTAATGTTTTGAGAATTTTTCAATTTAAAGTAATTAGGTCTAAATGACCTTCAACACCACAATAATGACATATAGGCACAAATCTAAATTTATCATATTGAGATACAAATTTGCATGTGTTAGCTTAGACATAAGGGAAGATACAACAAATATTGTTTTAGAACTGGAAGGGTAGAACATTCATCAATATAGCCTAATCCTTTTTTATCACCATAAGGCTTACCTACTTCAATTATTTTATCTAACTTTTGAGAACATATAGTTAAATTTAGAATAGATTCTTTATCCTTATCGGATTCTTGCATAGTATTTGATTCCTTTACTTTGAATAATTTAATTAACTTATCTTTTTCACAACAATCATGCTCAAGAAATTTAATTTTATCAATTAATGCAGTTTTCTCATCACAATCAAATGCATGCCTTTCACATGAAGTATAACATACTTTGAACCAAGTTTTTCTAAATCAAGTTGCTCTCCTCAAAAACTTTAAATAATTCATGGTAAGAAGGAGATTCAAGAATTACCTCATTTTCTTCATCATCTTTGTTACTATGAGCCGTGAAGCAAAAATTTGTGACTTCTTCATTACTTGCACTTTCATCACTATCATCGTAAGTAGCCTGCATTGCTTTCTTCCTGGATTTCTTAGATGATTTGAGGAGAGGACAATCCGGTCTTATATGACCCGACTTTTTACAATCATAACATATTATCTCATCATGTTTGCTCTTCTCACCTTTTCGGTTGGTGAAATGTTTTCTAAATTGTTTCTTTCTTTTGATGAAATTTTTATACTTGTGAAGTAGGCAACATCATCTTCATCAAGGGCTTCCTCATCGTCAGAGTCAACTTCCAATGTGATGGATTTTAGGGCTATACTTTTCTTCTTTTTGGATTCCTCTTCTATGCGCTCCTCCATGTTAATCTCATGCGTCATGAGAGAACCAACAAGTTTATCCAAAGAAAGCTTTGTGAGAACCTTTGCTTCTTGAATTGTCATCACTTTTGCTTCCCAACTTTTAGGTAGAGACCTAAGAATTTTCCTGACATTTTCGGAAGTAGAATATATTTTTCCAAGATTTTTCAAAGCATTTAGAATATTCGTAAATCTAGTGAAATATCACCCATAGATTCATTTGCATCCATTTTAAATAGTTCATAATTATAAACTAACATGATGATCTTTGTTTCTTTAACTTGATTTGTTCCCTCATGAGTTACTTCAAGAGTTTTCCAAATTTCATATTTTAAAGAACACATAGATACTATTAAATTCATCATTACTTAGGGCACAATAGAGAATTTATAGCACTAGAATTAAAAAAACATTTTTTCATATCATGCTCATCAAATTCATCCTCCATTAAGCTCCACAATATTATTAACAATTTTTATTGGAATATTAGGACTTTTACTAACATTTAACCATAATTGATAATCAATCGATTACAAATAAATTTTCATTCTAGCTTTCTAATACGTATAAATAGATCCATCAAAATAAGGAGGTCTAGAAGTTGATTGTCCTCGACAAAAACCGTTTTTAACATGTTGATTTGCCATAATCACTAAAAATAAAGTTTAAAAAAAATCATAAGGAGGTCTAGAAGTTGATTGTCCTTCACAAAAAAATCGTTTTTAACATGAGATTTGCCATAATATCTAAAAATAAAGTTTAAAAAAAAATCAATAAGAAACCTGCACTGATACCAATTGTTGGATCGATATGACAACCGTAGAGGGGTGAATAAGGTTTTAATCATGTAATTATTAAAAAAACAAAAAATTAATAACGATAAAACTTATACCATGCAATAAAACATAACAATAATTTAGAAAATATAACACCTTATTTTTACAGTGGTTCGGTCAAACTCTACCTACTTCACTCCCCAAACGTCTCTTGTGAATTTGAATAAAACTTTCGACTCTTTCCTTGTATCTGTGCCCAACCGCTATACCGCTTTTTTACGAGTTCAAGAGAAAACTCAATCCTTTCCACGACTCAAGATCAAACCAGTACAATTGTCTGAAACTTTATAGAAAAACACCACACACCAAACTCTTAGTAGATTTACAATTTTCTCACCCTACAATAGACATCTATCTCAGAGTAAGACATCTCTCATAGTAAGATAAACAAGAAATAAAATTGGAAACTATGTAGAGAGCAAAATGGAGGCTTTTAAAAAAATTTTAGATCGAAGAAACTATCGAACTTGTTTATTGTGAAATGTTCTTTCTGTTGTGGTCTGAAAAATATAAAAAGGGGATGAGTTTAAGTATTGATGAAGTTGTAAAAATAGGAATCGATATGTAACACTAAATCGTGAACTGAGATGTGGATGACGAAAAATAATATTTATTTATTTTTAAATTTATCGTAAAAAATTATAGACCACATGTATCATTTAAATATATATATATTATTTTAAATAAATATTAAAAACATTTGAAATTCATTTTTATTATATATATATATATATAACATATTTAAATGTAATAATATAATAAAAAAAATGTTAATGAGTAATAATTTAAAAGTAATTGAAAATTTTTATAAATTGAAATGATTTTATAATTCAAATAATTTAAAGTACTTAAAACTTTTTAAAACTTTTTATAAAGGTAATTGAAAACTCCATCATTTGTTACTCTACTAAAGTTATAAATGTCATATTTCGATTGGTCTATATGATGTTAATTTATGGTATATGAATTTTTAACTAGGAATGTAATTTTTTAACAAAAATGAGATGGGCATTCCAATAAGAAATAACTATAGTTTGAATAATTTCGGGAGACGAAATCTAAACGTACTCGAGTTTAGGGAGAACCAAGTAAGTGACCTTAGCATCAATATGGTTAAAAATTGATGATTGGTATGATGACACATGCCCCGTGGTTCTGCATGTGTCATATGTTTGATATGTGTGATATGTATATGAAATGATATGACTATGATATGTTTGTGAATGATATGACTATAATATGTTTATGAAACGATATGACTATGATATGTCTATGAATGATGTGTTTATGAAACGATATGACTATGATATGTCTATGAATGATGTGTTTATGAAATGATATGACTATTATATGGCTATGATATGATATGTGTGATATGTTATGATTATGAAATGTCGGTGATATGTTATGTTAATATTATGGTATGTGTTATGATGTGACGTGTTGATGATACAATATATGTTATAGTGTAACACGTTTGACGTAACAAAATATGTTGTGACGTGTTTTATGATATCATATGTCGAAGGATTTGTTATGTGCATGATATGACACAAAACCATGTATGTTATAAATGATACGAGATTCAACCTCGATACATGCCTTAAAGGCTATGTTAAAAAATGATATGATATGGAGGTAAACGAAATGAGGTTGGCAACGGTCGCTATTCACAATTGGTGTCTGGCAACAACTTTGGAGAATGCTCACTCGACCAAGAAAAGAGCCTAGGAGGTGTGCAAACCGCTGGTAGGTCCATACTCGCATGTGTGAGTCGTGTGTAGAACAACAAATAAACATCCAATTACCCATTTAGGATAGCCGCCCAAGGAAGTATACATTGAAAGGATAGGTTCCATACAAGATTTTATGTGTTTGCATCTAACCCCAACAATGAGGTTACTAATTAAATATTTCTTAATGAGGTTATTAATTAAATATTTCTTAAAATACTAAAGTCACACGCTACTTCTATTTCAAGTAAAGGCAAGACACTTCTATAAGGCTGACGACAACATCGCAAATCGAGACCATAGCACATGCATAAGATAGTTCTATTTATTTTTTTAGACTTAGGTTAGAATAGGGTGCTTTTATCTTTAATGTTTATTTATTTAGAAATTGTTATGTTATTTTAAAAATAACTTCGAACACGTAAATTCAAGACAGTGTTCTATGTTAAAGTTTCAAATGATTATTTCCATACAAATGAGTATATTTTCGTTACAGTAGCAACTTTAGACTATCATAAATCTAGGGTCGTCAAAAAGAAGTTAATAAACTTTCACAAGAAATCATACCAGGAGACTCTCACAATATGGTTTGTAACTTTAATTCGTTGAAGCATGTTAAAAAATATAAAAAAATATTAAAAAAATATTAAAAAAATCCCGATACCGTTCATTTCAAAGAATCTAATGCTTGTCAAATTAATGGAAAATGAATGTCCTAACTTAGTTAAGCTAAAAGCGTTGTGAAATATTTGCTACAAATATGGCTAAATGTTCTCAATCATATCAGATATTTGCTTATAATAAAGAGTAAAATATAATACGTAGTACGTAAATCGAAAAGAAAAACTAGATATGTTGTACGAGATATTTGTGTATAATAAAGAGTCTAATATGATATATATATAGTAAACCGTCTCTTAGCTTAAACAATAATAAAACTAAGTATATGATAGAACTTAACATGTGTATAATAAGGAGTCTAATATGATATATATATATATAGTAAACCGTCTTTTAGCTTAAACAATAATAAAACTAAGTATATGATGGACCTTAACATGTGTATAATAAGGAGTCTAATATGATATATATATATAGTAAGCCGTCTTTATCCTAAACAATAATAAAACTCACGATGGACCTTAACATTTTCCCACAACCCTAAGGAACCCTTCAAGGAAACCTCATTGGTTTGATACGGCGGGGGGTTGAGAGGAGGACTCTTCATTTTTGGGATCAGCTGGTTTGAGCTCCTCAATGTAGGCGTGATGAATCATCAACCCTCCCTTCCACTTCTTAGTCCATACTTCATACAAACCAAAATGGATTTCTGGGGATTCCGACTTCTCGTTAGGCTTCTCGTTAGACTTCTTAGACTTCTCGTTAGGCTTCTTAGGTTTCTCGTTAGACTTCTCGTTAGGCTCGTTAGGCTTCTCGCTAGGCTTCTCGTTAGACTTCTCGTTAGGATTCTTGTTAGGCTTCTGGTTAGACTTGTCGTTCTCGTTAGACTTCTCGTTAGACTTTTCGTCATGCTTCTCGTCATGCTTCTCGTCATGCTTCTCGTCATGCTTCTCGTCATGCTTCCCGTCATGCTTGTTGGATGGTGGACGCATAGCCTTGATTTTTAAGGTTTCATTGAAATAATCAGGGATGCGTATCTTTTCACCTAGGGGTGCCCTGTCAAGATGGACTTTCCTATAACTGTATTTCCCTGACTTGCCAACCTTGGCCATCACATAAACATCGACATCTTTCCATCCAAACGCATCTGGTTTCAATGACACTTCGAAACCCACTTTATATGTCTTCCCATACTTTAGTTTCTTATCAATTGAGCATGCTACTTCCAGCCATGAAACTTGCTTCAGTTCTGCCGCACAATTTTTTTCCCTGCAAAAATGACACAAATTTGTAGACAATAATATTAAATCCTTAATAGATAGCTATCCAACCATAGGATTCAGCTAACCATAGGATTCTGCGATCCCACATCAGTTAAGAAAGAGAAATGGTGTGAAAACCTGTCCCAAGAATACTAGTTTCCCCGAAAGACTTTAAAACGCGTTTGCTAGGAGAAGGTTTCCACACCCTTGTAAATTGTAAATGGGTGTTTTTGTTCTCATCCCCAACCAATGTAGGACATCACAATCCACCTCTTTCGAGGTCCAGCGACTTCGCTGACACTCTTTCCTTTGGAGCCCCCGCCAAATCCACCCCTTTAGGCCTAGCATTCTTACTAACACTTGGTCTCGTGTCTATTAAGGTATTTGCAACAATTTTATTACATTATTTAATTTTAAATAATTAAGTTATTAATTTTTATCAAGTCAAATTATTAAAATAATTTAATTTTGGGACTAAATTTTAGATTTTTTAGTTTATTTTGTAATAAATTTTAATAAATATCCTTAAATAAATAATTTTAGTAATATTATATTTAGTACCACTTATATTTCAAAAAATCAAATATTGTATATGTGAGATCGTATGTTGGGGAAGAGAACGAAACATTCTTTCGAAAGGCATGGAAAAGAGGACAATATTTGTTAATGGTGGGCTTGAGTCGTTACAAATAGTATTAGAGCCAGACATCGGGCAATGTGCCAGCGAAAAGGCTTAGCCCGAAAGGGGTGGACATGAAGCGATATGTTAGCAAGAACGCTGAGTTTCGAAGGGGGTGGATTGGAGAAGGGAACAGAGTGCCAGTAAGGATGTTGGACCCTAAAGGGGGTGGATTGTGAGATCCCACATTGATTGATGAGGAGAACGAAACATTATTTATAAAGGAGAACAAAACATTTTTTATGGAAAGCTCTCTCTAGCACAAGCATAAAAACTTTGAGGAAAAGCTTAAAAAAACAATATTTTTGCAAGAATATATTTATAAATCTAAATTTTAATTTAATTTTCATTCATTAATCAATGGATATGAGTTTGTTTAACCATTAGTATACTATATCGAAAAGCTTAATCGAGAAACTGACCCGTTGAATTTCTTCCAATAGCGATCATCGTTGCCCCATGTGATGTTAAAGCCTCTCGGATAAATTAGGACCTTCCACAGATCAAATGTTAGAAAACTGATAAAAATCTTGAGTTTCATACGATATAGTTTAAAGAAAAGAAAACAAAGAGGCTGTCGAATGGGCAAACCTCGTTGTTTTTCACGTCTAAGGCATCTTCTTCTGGTACTTTGTGAGGCCCCTTTTCCATTATTGGATTATTGCAACCTTCCACAACAAAAATTAAGAGCCTCAATGTATTCTTGTTTGTATCTTAAAATTAGCTTAACTAACTATTCATAAGATGGAACAAAAAGGGTGTTAGTGGATAAGAACAACACGATATTTGAGAAAATCGAAAGATTAACGTGAAAAAGTAAAAAGATTTTGAGTGATAAACATGGTGTTAAAAAGCCTCCCCTACTTTAATTACCTTTTGACTTTGTTTTGGTTAATAGTGTTTGAAGAATATTTGGTAAATTTTAGAAATCTGGTTTGACTTATGATATCCCACATTGACTCTGAGAGGGGAACAAAGTCTTCTTTATAAGAGTGTGGAAACTTCTCTCTAATTTTTTAAAACATTAAGAGGAAGTCCGAGAGGAAAAACCCAAAGAGAACAATATATGTTAGCGGTAAACTTTGGTTGTTACACTCTATGTGAAATTTCTTCCTTTGTCTTGTTCACCTTGAAAGAAAGTTCAAAAGTGAGAGTAAAAAAATGACAATATCTGCTAGCAGTGGGTTTGGGACGTTACACTCTATGTGAAACTTCTTCCTTTGTCTTGTTCACCTTAAAGGAAAGTCCAAAAGTGAGAGTAAAAAAATGACAATATCTGCTAGCAGTGGGTTTGGGACGTTACACTCTATGTGAAACTTCTTCCTTTGTCTTGTTCACCTTGAAGGAAAGTCCAAAAGTGAGAGTAAAAAAATGACAATATCTGCTAGCAATGGGTTTGGGACGTTACACTCTATGTGAAACTTCTTCCTTTGTCTTGTTAATCTTGAACGGAAGTTCGAAAGGGAAAGTCCAAAAAGGATAATATTTGTTAGATGTGGGCTTAGATGGTTACCCTCTATGTGAAACTTCTTCCTTTGTCTTGTTCACCTTGAAGGGAAGTTCGAAAGGGAAAGTCCAAGGTAGTTACACTCTATGTGAAGCTTCTTCTTTTGTCTTGTTCACCATGACGGAGAAATTCGAAAGAGAAAGTCCAAAGAGAATAATATCTACTAGCGGTGAACTCTTAGGCAGTTACACTATATGTGAAACTTCTTCTTTTGTCTTGTTCACCTTGAAGGGAAGTCCCAAATGGAAAATCCAAAGAGAATAATATTGGTTAGCGGTGATCTTAGACGGTTATACTCTATGTGAAACTTCTTCCTTTATCTGGTTCTTTGTGTTTTGTAACATGTCTACACGTAAAGAATAATAATAATAAAAAAAAAAGATTAAAACTTCAAAGGAATAAAGGTAATATTCTTGGAGGAAGCATATTGTGTAAGCAAGGATGGATGAATGTTAAAGATAACTGTAGGTCGGTGGCTACCTAAGGAAACTCCGATTCGATCCGCCCCCCGGCTGGGAGGCATCTACCTCCTGACCTTATCATCAGTTAGACATATCTAACTTACCCTATCCTACCCTAAGACCTTACCTTATCATGACTACCTGACCTTATCATCAGTTAGACATATCTAACTTACCCTATCCTACCCTAAGACCTTACCTTATCATGAGGTAGTCCTACCCTAAGACCTTACCCTCATACCGGTTGTATACATGATGAGTCAAATTTGAGCTCTTGGTTAGAAGAATTTTGCTATAGTAGAGTGTATCTTCATCTTCAATTCATCCTCAAATGCTATGTAGAAATGGAAACGTTTCCCATGGTGACCACCTTTAATAGAACAAAGAATTTCCATTTAGGCAAGTAAGGGGAGAGTGACTTTATCCACCGGCTCACTTAAAACGTTATAATTGACTGTTTATAGTCTTTTTCAAAGGTATCGACCATTGATATTATTAAAAATTTATAAATTTTTATAATGTTTTTGTATTAGTTATTATTGATGATAGAGTATGTAGTATAACTGCTTTTTATTAAAATTGTAATATGTTTATATATTTTTAAATTCTAATAACATTTATTCAATACTTATTTATTTATTTATTCGGACTTCAAACCATGGACTGTTACATACAATTTTGTTTTCATTTTAAAACAAAAAGTAATGCCATGGAGATTGGCAATTTTAGAATATAAATTTATAAAATTAATAAAATCATTCAAATACATATGTGGGAGTTAAACAAAAGAGTTATACAAAATATTCAAATATGAATACAACAATGATGTAACTCCTAACTGCTATTGTTACGAGCCAATGTTCTTAATATCATGTGTCTATATCAGAGGTCATTGAAAGACAACACCTAGGTGCATCGGCTCCATCGAGCTCGTTTGGATTTCTATGGTCTATTAATTCCATGGTTCTTATCACCCTACATTTGATCTATCAAGCCTCGTCACTCCTCTTTCAAAGTGTACTGTACTCATCTAGGTTACTCGGGTTTCTAGATGCACTTAGTTGATCGGTTACTAATCTTGTTGGTTTGTCTAGGTCCTTATGTGATATGTGTAGGAGAACGTGGATGCCTCATCAATCTCGAACTCTAGTGCATCTAACTGTTGGGATTTATGCCCTAAAGTCTCATAATTAATTATTTAGTTTTTAACAATAATTTTTATTATTTTATTTGTAATTTAATTATTATCCATGGTATGAAAATCCAAGGTTAGTGATGTTATCTTGAATCGTATGTGGTTGACATACAAGAGAATCGTTACAAATAATTTGATACAAATCGTTCATTTTGAGACATGTAAGTGGGGGGTATCCTATTCAATGAGTTTGTATAATACTAGATCAATAAATATTTAATCACTCTTTAAAATTTCGTTAATTGAGAAGATTAATATTTTAGTTGATGATCATATGCGACTCGATCTTAATCTTGTGGATCGTGTGTAAAACAGTAAATACACATCCAATTACCCATTTACAATAGTCGCCCAAGGAAATATACACCAAAGGATAGGTCTCATTCACAATTTTATGTGTTTGCATCTAACCCCAAAAATGGGGTCACTTACTCAATATTTCTTAAAATACTCCAGCCACGCGCTACTTTTATTTCAGGTAAAGGTAAGACACTCCTAACAATATCGCAAGTCGAGACCATAGCACATGCATAAGATAGTTCTATTTATTTTTTTTAGGCTTAGGTTAGAATAGAGTGTTTTTATCTTTAATGTTTATTTATTGAGAAATTGTTATGTTATTCTAAAGACATCTTCGAATATGTAAGTCCATGGCAGTCTTTTATGTTAAAGTTTCAAATGATTATTTCCACACAAATGAGTATGTTATGCATACAGTAGTGACTTTAGACTATCAGAAATCTAAGATCGTTACGAATATGTCAAATAGAAGTTAGATAAACTTTCCTAAGAAATTATAGAAGGAGACTTATCACAATATGGTTAGTAATTTTAAATGGTTGAATATATGAGAAAAATGTTAAAAATAATTCGAACCGTATCCAAAATGGTTATTAGGAGGCATGCAAAAAAAAAAAAAAAAAAAAAAAAAAAAAAAAAAAAAAAAAAAAAAAAAAAAAAAAAAAAAAAAAAAAAAAAAAAAAAAAAAAAAAAATGACACCCATCTCGATCCAAAATTTATATGCAAAATGGTTATATGCAAAATTTATCTCGATCCAAACAGTATAAAGATGTGGTTGATTTTTCAGATAATTTTTTCAATGACACCCATCTCGAAGAATCTAATGCTTATCAAATTAATAGGAAAATGAACGTCCTCCTAACTTTTCCAACTTCATTAAGCTAAAACCTTGTCAAATATTCGTTACAATCACCAAGCGGTGAAAATTCTCTATTTATAATTATTTATAAAATCAAATAAATTATAAAGGAAATGGAAAAAGTAATAAATGAACTCACCATATTTGCATATAATAAGGAATCAAATATGATACGAGGATAAATTAAAATTAAAGGCTGATATTTGCTTATAAATAAAGGGTAAAATATGATATATACGCGAACGTGAGGAAAAACTAGATATTTGTGTATAATAAATAATCAAAAACATAAACAGTTTTTTAACTTAAACAATAAAATATATGATCGACCTTAACATTTTCCCACAACCCTAAGGAACCCTCCAATGAAATCTCATTCTTTTGGTATGGTGGGCTGAGAGGAGGACTCTTCATTTTTGGGATCAGCTGGTTCGGCCTTCTCAATGTAGGCGTGACGAATCGTCAACCCTCCCTTCCACTTCTTATTCCATACTTCATGCAAACCAAAATGGATTTCTGGGGATTTCGGCTTGTCGTTAGGCTTGTAGAATGGTGGAGGCATAACCGTGATTTCTAAGGGTTCATTGATATAATCGGGCATAACCGTAACCTTAGTTTTTTACTTGTATGTGAGATTCTACGTTGGCTGAAGAGGGAAACCAAGTTTTCTGTATAAGGATGTGGAAACTTTTCTTTAGCTTTTAAAAATCGTGAGAAGAAGCACAAAAAAGAAAGTCCAAAAAGAACCATATTAGTTACCTGTGGGCTTAGGCAGTTATACTCTATGTGAAACTTCTTCCTTTGTTTTGTTCACCTTAAATGAAAGTCCAAAAGGTAAAGTAAAAAAATGACAATATTTGCTACAAGTGGGCTTGGGTTGTTACACTCTACGTGAAACTTCTTCCTTTGTCTTGTTCACGGGAAGTCTAAAAAGGATAATATTTGTTAGGTGTGCATTTAGACTGTTATACTCTATGTGAAATTTCTTCCTTTGTCTTGTTCACCTTGAAAGGAAGTCTGAAAGAGAAATTCTAAAGAGGATAATATCTGCTAGCCATGAACTTAGGCTGCTACACTCTATGTCTCTATGTGAAACTTCTTCATTTGTCTCATTCATCTTGAAGGGAAGTCCGAAATGGAAAGTCCAAAAAGGATAATATCTGCTAGCTGTGTGCTTAGATTGTTACACTCTATGTAAAACTTCTTCCTTTATCTTGTTCACCTTAAAGAGACATTCGAAAGAGAAATTCCAAAAACGACAATATATCTGCTAATGATGAACTTAGGCGGTTACACTCTATGTGAAGCTCCTTATTCATTCTCCTCAACCTTAAACTAAACCTTTGACACTATTCCCTAATTGAACAAGGGAAAGCATGAATTTACTGCTGCTCAATATAGGGCTGCGACCCTTCAGACTGTCTCCCCGCACGGGAGGCGCAGGAAAGCTATTTCTTTGGAAAGCTCCTACTGTCATTCCGTTGAACCTCTATTACGTTCCCTGCTTCATCTATTTAGTCTTGAACAACTCCGGAACCTTATAACGCTCTGGCGCTCTGAATCTCGAAGATCTTGGTAGGATTCTTATCTACCCTGAAATAAGGTCAGGTCATAGAGGTTACGGGATCTTCTAGTCTATAAAAGAAAGGTTCAAGTCGGAGCACTTCTCGGGATAGCATCGCCCAGGCTGAGAAGGAATCGCCACCTATTTAGACACTGATCTTGATCCAGGAAGAACTCAATTTCCTATCGTTCAGTAGGTCGTTGGTCCGTCCTTTTGACATCACATTCTCGGCTGCCTCTTCTTCCTTTGTCTAGTTCTTTGTGTTTTGTAATAGGTCTAAAGAATAAAAACCCGGTAAAACTTCAAAGGAATAATGGAAGAATATTGTGAGCAAGGATGGGTGAACGTATACATGATGAGTCAAATTTGAGCTCTTGGGAAGAATTTTGCTATAGTAGAGTGTATCTTCATCTTCAATTCATCCTCGAATGCCATGTAGAAATGGCAACTATTCTCATGGTTGGGAGGGTGGCTTTATCTATCGGCTAACGAAAAACGCTATAATTAACCATTTATAGTATTTTTTAAGGTCTCGACGACTGATATTATTAAAAATCTATGACTTTGTTTTTGTGTTAGCTATAATGAGTATAAAAATTATGATAACACAATTTTCGAGGCTTCAAATCTTGGACAGATACTAAAAAGACAAGGCTAAACAAATAAAATAAGACCACCCAATAAAATTTAAATTAGAAAACAAAATAGTCAACAACACCCCAATTAAATTCAATATTAAGACAATGTAGTAAAAATGGATTGATGGTCCGAAATGACCCCTTCGCACAATTCTTGATCGCTCCTCCACTTTGACCGCCAAACCCTAAAATTGAAAAGGGAAAAGGGTGAGTATAGAAATTGTAACGGCTTGATAATATATATATTCAAACATACGATTTCCAGCGAGGGGTTAATATCAAGAGGATAACCGCCCCACCACCCCCTTAAAGCCTCTCCACTCTCATGCTCACCATCACCAACTCTGACATTCCTTTATTTTGTAATCTACACACGTGGCTGAGAGGAAAATCTAATTGCTATCTGAGAAGGAGATCGAGAGACTATACGACCAGGATTTCAAATTTCAATGAAGGTTTTGGGGATTTAGGAACAAAGGAGTGTCGTGGTGCTATTGTACAAACGGGAGGTGGACGAGCCGAGATGAAATTAAACGTGTTAGCGTAAGAACGAGTAATTGAATGGTTGATTAGAAGATATATTATTAAGAGCAAGAAGCTCTAATATATAGAGAGAATATAAAAGGAAAATTTTAAAAATCTGGGAAAATCTATTTACAAACCAATAATCAAATTAAAACTAAATTCAATGGAAAACAATCTAAAATAGGTGATCTTTACCACTACTCTTGTTTAGACGGGGCAAACTTTTCCTGAAATCTTCAAACTTGCTAAGTGGCAGAGATTTGGTAAAGACATTTGCAATTTGATCTTCAGGTTTAGCAAAGAGTCACATCACCACTCTTTTGAACTTCTTGAACAAAGAATAAGTTGATGTTGAAATGCTTAGTTTTTTTCATGAACAAATCTCTGTCACTAGCATCTCTGACCAATCACTAGTTATTCTCAAACAACATTTTATAGCCTTTATCAATTAATTGATCAACAGTTAAGAGATTTTGATAAATTTTAGGTACAAATAAAACATCTGGAATAAATTTTGTATTTGCTTGTTATAGCTACGGTGTCTTTTCCCTTGTCTTCCAAGTGTTTACCATTGTCAATCTTCACTCTCTTGACTTAAGTGTCTCTTAATTCCTCAAAAAGCTCCTTATCATGTCATATAATTTGTTCACTACTGTCAATAAACCAGCTCTCACTTGATTCTTTGTGTTAGTGAAAGAATGAGTAATTGAATGGTTGATGAGAAATTGTATAATGAAGAGCAAGAAGGCTCTATATATATACGTATAATACAAAAATATATTTAGAAAAATTACTTAAAAATGGGCAGAAATCGGGTAAAACAAATCAAAAACTAAATCAAATCAAAACTACATCAACTCAAAACTAAATCAACTCAAAACTATAAGGAGATTTAATTAGATACTAACTAGCAATCTAAACAAGCACGTGATTTTAACACTCCTCCTTGTTTAGATGCTGTGAACTCCAATTTTTTTTCTTAAACATCTATCCTACTCCAATTATCTTTCTGTTTAGAGGTCGATCAACCAACTCCCTAGTTTTGTTTTTCTCGATCACTGAAAGCTCCTCCTCTGACAGGTGCATCATCAACCAAAGCATCTTGTCGTTCATCTTCAAACTCTTCTAGTCGTTCATCTTCAGACTCTTTTAACATGCTACCAAAGATTAAATTGTTTGGTGCATTAGAAATTTAATTCACCTTCTTTAGTTCTTCCCAATTCCATTGCTCATTTCCAGCAAAATGAACATCTCGGCTCACAATAACACGACTAGTGTGTGGTTGAAAAACTTTGTAAGCTTTGGATATAGTGCTATACCCAACAAAGATGCCAACTTCTACCTTTTTGTCAAGCTTATCACGCTTGACTTGTGGAATGTAAGTGAAACAAAGACACTCAAATACTCTAAGAAACATTAGAGAAGGTTTGTAACCATACCAAACTTCAAATGGTGTCAGGTCCTTCACAACTTTTGTTGAAATTCGATTTTGCAAGCACACAACAGTGTTTGTTGTTTTTCTCCAAAAACGTTTTGGAAGATCTTTCTCATGAAGCATGCATCTTGTCATCTCCATTATGAATCTATTTCTCATTTCACTTACGTAAGGCACCTTCAATCATCTATTTTTGCCTCATAGACCTCCTTTGCTCTTGTGCTTGTAAAGAATTCAAGAGCTCTGTAAGAGAAATTTTTGATAGGTCGTTGGTGTTCTCCAAAGTAGTAATGGTGACTTCAAACTTCTCTGGAACCGTAACCAGTAGCTTTTAAACAATCCTGGAATCATTTAACACAGAACCAGGAAATCTTACATTGTTGGCAATGTTGAGAAGTCTGTCAGAGTACTCTTTCACCGAACTCCTACATATTCTACAACTCGAAATCCCTAATCAAATTCAGGACTTTCATTCCACGAATCCTCTCATCTCCTTCATATTCAGCCTTGAGGTAATCTCAGATTTCCTTGGCTGTTTTGAGGAACATTATTCACATGAAAATCATTTGAGATACAGCTGCAAATAGGCAAGCTTTTGCCTTTGATTTTCTTGTCTTCTTTTCTTTCTGTGCTTTGATTTATGCTACAGTAGGATTTGCTGGAAGTTGAGGGACCTCGTAATCCTCCTCTACTTCTTCCCAACGATCCAAAGCCTTCTGATAAGTCTCCATACGAACTGCCCACATTTAATAATTGTCTCCATCGAAAACTGGTGGTGCAACCATTGAAAAGCTGGATTCTCCTTCCATTTTGATCTCACATATCCCTTAAAAAAAATGACTCTGATACCAATTTGTTAAGGAAATAATGAGTGATTGAATGGTTGATTAGAAGATATATTATTAGGAGCAAGAATGCTCTCTCCATATATATATAGAAAATAAAAAGAAAGTTTAAAAAATATGCAAAAAAAAAAAAAAAATCTACACAAAATTGAGTAACAAACCAGTAAACAAATCAAAACTAAATCAATTCCTAACGATAAGAAGATTTAATCAGAAACATTATCAGAAAAAGTACTAACGGACATCAATCTAAACCAGGTAAACTTTAACAAAACGTAAACGCGTTGGAAAGTCGTTGAAAAAGAGGGGAAAGGACCGAAGGCATACTCTATGTTCTCGGGTAGAGGAGATGAATCTTTCGGACTCAAGTCGGAGCCCTAACCCACAAACCCAACCCATTGCAGCCCACGAAACAATTACCTGCTTTAGACGTGCACGGCTCAATTTCCCAATTACTCACAACCTAAAACATAACGCGTGAGGTTGGTTCAACAGTTGACTTGAAAACCAGCGCCTCGACTCGAAGCGACCTGCGCCTCTCCTTCAACTGCACACATACTCGACACATGATCTCCCCCAGCCGTGGCTTAAATT